AAAAAAAGTTAGAATAACTTCTAATTGCCGCGAGTAAACTAACATGTGCTTACCTCAGCTCTTTCCCGTATCAAACGTTCTTCTCTTAAAGCTGCTAGTCTATTTCGTTTCTCAATCTCCATTTCCAGCTTCTCATTGTCATTGTCATTGCTCTCATGGTCATGATGGTGATGACGGTGATGGTGATGCCCCTTCTTCTTCTCCCTCTTTTGCTTCTTCCTCCTCTTTTTCGAATCTGAACTCTCAAATTAATTAGGGAACAATTCTATCAGAGAGCTGTCATGTTCGACAATTACTTGTAGGCTTACGATATCAAAGTGTATAGTTACCCTCTTGTGTCTAACTATCATAGCTAGTTGCATCTATGAAAAGCATATATCACAAAAATCAAAGAAAAAAACGATTATAAAGTCACTTGAAAAGAAGAAATGGGACAACTCACCGCTAGACCGACCGCTTTCGCTGCTACTACTTCTTTTCCTCTTCTTCTTTTTGTGCTTCTTTTCATCTTTAGCCTCCTCTTTTCCACTACTTAATGAAGTAGAAGGTAAAGATGTGATTTTCCCCTAGAAAGATATTGAGTTATTTTTTCAAAATCCAGTATATAGGGATACCTTTACTTCTTCTTGTCTGACTATTGGCCGCGTAATTTTTGTATACCATTCTTGTTCTTTATTTAGTTCTTTTGTGCCTTCAGCAAAAGCTTTTTGGATACCCATTTTTGAGTCCCATTCCTAAAATTATTCAATATCTCAAATATATGATTTGGGAACAGTTTTAGCGTAAAATGATAATCTAGTTAAAAACAAATGATGGAGATAAAAAGTGAAAAATTACAACCAATTACCGCTTGCTCTTTGCGTTTTTCTTCTTCATATTCCTTATTTCCATGTCCAAAATTTTGCAGTTCAGCTTGTTCGAGATCCTATGATGGGAACACAATTAAGTGGTCACTAGACTTTGAGAACGCCTTCTCTAATTTGAAGGACCGATATATCAAGATGTACCAGATGTTAGAACTTAAACTTTTTCACATCTTCTACCCTTGCAGCACTCTACTAATACGTGAAGCTTATGTGACTGAGGGTAAAAAAAAGTAAGTAGCGATATGACACTAGCTTGCATTTTGAAATAAACAGAGTACGAAGGTTTGAGTAAGAGCGAAAACGTCTTTGGTAGAATTTTACAGAAATTGGCTCGTGAAAATCATGGGGAGAACGTAAGGCAGCATCGTAATCGAAAACTCTGTCGTCTGCCGCTGCATGTGCGCTGCCCCGAAGTGCAAAAACTGAGAGCAAACAGTGCGCCGCGATTGCACTTTGCGGTCTACGACGTTTAACGCAGACGATATTACGAAATCAGAATTCTGACCAAAGTCTCATTTAAAGCAACTAAAACAAAAAAATCCACTGAATGGTCCAAGTTTTGAAGAAATAGACAGTGGCTTAACTAACCTGGAACAGGTTAACGTGACCAGACGAGCTGGCTATAGTAGCATCTGATGACCCTCTTAAGGAGAATGGTTCCAAATTTGCTTCCCTGAACTAGATTTGTAATCACATTGAAAGAATGAGGAATTTCCTAAGCTGACCTTTTTGCTGCTTGTGCTCGCAAAGCTTCGAGACGTCTCTCATTCTCTGCTTTAATCGCTCTATCGAGACGATCTTGTTCTTCTTGCGCAGCTTTTGCCTCGTCTCTCCTAACTCGAGCAATATTTTCTTTTGTACGTACATGCCATTTCTTTTGAGGTAGAATGTTCATTATACTAAAAATGGGAGTGTACAAACAGACTTTGACTGAATCTCCAGCCCATGGAATTGGCTGGAAGTCAGATAGGACATTAGGGAAAACTTTTTAGATGTGATAGTTTATGGAGATAATAGTCCAGTAGAGTCGTTGGTATACGCTGCTTCCACAACAAACCTCCCTTATGAATAATTTATACTAAACATCATATATTATGCATTAAATAGGCTAAGTACAAATTGCAAGGCAACTTGGTTTTATTTAGCACATTTAAGTTCAGCCAAGAATACTTAAGGCGAAAAGATCACAGTAACAAATTAAACCAATACAATTCCCGATATAAACAATACGTCCGTTGCACAACCTTGACTAACTATGAGAAGTGAGAAGACATAGTTCGGAATAAGTAGTTCTTGCAAAGTACACTTATCACCCATGTAAGAAAACTTTATCTTCAAGATCTGATGTCTAAAGCCAAATACTATTTCTACAGTTATTCCCCATCAAAAAAATGACATTAAGCAGTCATTGTCGGTATATACAGTGCGTTGATAGCGTCACTGAGTCTGACTTTCTTCATGTGCCTCATAGTATCATGTGCGAACACATGCTCTCGGTGTCGAAGAGGTCGGATGTGGTCTTTGCGAGCCAAGCGATACGCTCGTGATGCATTTATCTGGAGGAAAAGAAGTCAGAATTTATCTCTAAGTGGATTCTGGGTAACCAAGAAAAACTGTGAAAAACAATATTATAGTTTGAAAAAGGAATTCTTGTCCAATAAAGAATAGAATCGAATAAGATGATGAGTAAAAGAAGGAACTAAAGATATATATATATATATATA